ATTTCAGCCAGGAGAGCCTGCAGGGTCAAGTGCCCATACGATGGCCCCTCTCACGTAGGCTAAAGTGAGCCGAGTTTCTGAGAAGTAGCTGCCAGAGCACAGACACAATACAAACCCCTTCCGCCACGGGACCTTTCTTCCTTTGCTTTTCTCTGGTACTCTGGAAAGAGCTAAATATTCACCCTGCTCTCACTTCCCTTCCTGCACGATTGCTATTGGTGTCACAGACATTGTGCTTCGCTCACATTTTATCATGTTTGCGTCAAGGTGTGGGAAAGTTCAGCCTTACTCTGGGGACACACGCTTGGATGAGGATGACGCGGTCAGACGTGGCAGGGCATCAACAGGCCCTGGGGTGCTTGGGGACAAGGGCTATTCACTGGAACTACTGACATGCCGAGAAAAGGTGTGTCTAATCCACTGCCCAGCTCCTCTGCCTATACACGCCTGTGTGAAGCTGGTATGCAGCGACGGCACAGTGTGTTCTCCGTGGCTGCTTTCAGGAAACCCGAGTGGTCATGCATGTTTTCACCGATAAGGATCTTACCACACCCCTGCAGAGAGTGCTGCCCCGGTGTTAAAGAGGAGCAGGGCTGTGACTCCTTGCTCTCGATCGAAGGCACTTAGTGCCTCCCTTTCCCCAGCTCTAAAACGGAGTTAGTAATACATCGTTGAGATTGTGTGTTTCTCAGATGTGGGACTTCATAGGCAGCTATAAAACCAAATTTATTGTACTGCAGGGGAGCTGCATGGTACTTTGAGAGCCTGAAAAGACCGTACTGAAATGCTTTTTTAATTATTTATTCAATTGGAGTGATTGAAAAAACTGTTCCAAAGAAGTCAATGCAAGCTTCATACCTGTGTGTATAGTATCCATACACACACACGCACACACACAGAGCTTTTACTTATGAATCCTTTAAGCTTACCTCTGCTAACAGAAAATGCTTTTGCTTTCCTGTTTTCTTTTATTCCTATATATTGCCTACTTGAAAAGCCACGAGTTGCTCAGGAGTCTTGTTTTCCTTGGGGTTTCCAAGATAACCGCTGGTGTTTTGTGACCGTATGAGAATGGTACATTACAACTGGCACACACTTCCCTGTAATTCATGTGTGTACGCATCTCAGGGCTGAGGAGCATCGCTGTGGAGACGAAGACACTTAGAGGCCATGAAGGATGGTGTATGAAGCAGGAAAATGGAGGGTTACAACCCGAATGGAAGAGTAGGATGGTTGGTCAGACAGAAGTCTGACCTATGAAGTCTTCCACGACAGCAGAAGACCTCTTAGGGAAACACTTCTCAAAGCTCTTCATTACCTCTGGCTCCTGAGCCATGCCCGTTGGACAAGCCCCTGGCCCTGAACACAACAGTCGCACTGCTGACTGCTTGCTTGCTTGCAGTTAGGTCCATATTTCATGCATTAACGTGCAGCATCACTGCTTCCCTCTTGCTCAAGGCTCTCTGTTACACTATATATTGGACACTGTGGAAGTAAAGGGAGGACACAACCCTTCCCTGCTCACGGGACTGCAACCTCCTTGGGGTGTTGCTACAAAAATGGTTTTGTAGATAGACAGATGAAAACCGACTATGATCCTCCCAAGACTGGCAGTAGTTTTTATCACTCTCTGTCACATAATGGCTTGGCTTTAACGGAGAGCACAGACCACCTTGTGTTAATGAGTAATAAAAGCAATCGATCTGTAGTGCACTAGTCTCTTAGCTGGGAGTGTGTGTAGATGAGGTGATAAGGTTGTTACATTAGTGAAGTTAAGCTGCATCGATACCATGCAGTTTAAGAGCCCTACACTACACAGCCAAGCTCTGATAATTAAGACACCCTAATGCTTTTGTTAGGGTCAAAGTATTGTAAATGTTAGGTTAGCCAAGAGAAAAATATACAGTTAGCATATATAGTATGGCCTAAGCATATATAGTATGGCCTACAGATCCGTTTGAAAGCTACACTGAGTCATGTCAGCCAGGTTTTAGGCTATGCAAAGACATCTTGGGAGGTTATTTTGGGAGAGCTGTTTTCTGAAGCTGAGGAGACATCTGTAGTGCTAAGCTGGGAAAGCAGAATATGATGAGAAACTGCTACAGACTTTGCTTCATGAAGATGCTGACTTGTTTAAATAAAGAGTATTAAATATATACCTTGCCAGTTTCTACTTAATAACAATATTCTATTCTTTCTAGTAACTCCAGCAGTTTCCAAGGGGCTGTTTGGAGATGCGGACCTAAAGAAGGACAGATATTGGACTGGCATCTCTGTCAGGTGAAAATCACGAACCGTCTTCATCGTGTTGCATGCTCTGGAGCAGTCTTATACCCGGGAAAACTGGAGGACCCTGACCTGCTCTGCTGCCGAGGCCAGGATGCTCCTGAGCCCTGAGCTAGATGCAAATGGCTGGTGTGAAGCCAATTCCCATTCCTCCCGGTGACTCACGGCCAGGGAAGCACTGGCATCCTGCTCTAGGAAGGGTCACTTGCCTGCCCTGCCCTGCAGGGAAGGTGAATACAGGGAAGTGGATGGAGCTGGGACAGCAACAGGAATTGCTGGGCATGCGGAAAATAAACAAGACTTTGCCAGGACTGCCATGACAGCAGAGATGGAGTGAAGCACAGGCAACAATGGCACCTGGAGACGCTGCCTTCATCCCTTAGTGGAATTTGCTCCTTGGGCTGACATGCGTGGACATCTGATGTGCTAAGCTGGAAAAATAGAGTATGATGTGCCCATTACAAAAGCTTAGAAACACCACTCTGGCTGTTACTGTGGTCCTGCTGTTCTCCTGGAAGTTTTTTGTTTTCTACCTCAGTCAAGCTTCTATTTGGCACAGTTTCACCGTTCACCAAATGGGGAAAAATGGGGCCATTCTCCCCAGCTGGGCTTATGCTCTCTGAAAGAGGCTTGTATTTGGGTGCAGGGCAGAATCAGAAAGCAGGGAGATCCATATGGCTATAATACATCTGCTGGCTAATTCTCTGCTACTGTAAAACTCTACTCTTGCCACCCCTTAATTCTGTTTGTGGAAGGTGGTCTCAGATTTTCCTGGCCTTTTCTGAGCTTACCACACCACTTTTTCTGAGTTACTACTACTAACAACTGGCTAGGATACCTTGTTTTGAATACTGGTGCAGCCACAAGTTAATTAACACAGTGCAGGACAAGCATAGGAAGATGACGTATATTGTCAGTACCTGTCTCATATCAATGCAATCTCTATATATGTGGCTAATGAAAGTCATTATGCTTTATGGGACCTGCATGGCCAATGCCCTGTCCCTGTGGGTCAGAACTGTTGGAAACACAACTCTACCCTTGTCAAAGAAAGCCATGAGGTGAAGATCATGTGCACTTTTGCCAAACACCTGGATGCCAGAAAACTTGGCAGAAAGCATTGTACATGCATCATCGTATCAAGACATTCATCTGGCAGAGAAGGAAGCAGTAAAGTTCCTCACTTGTCAGCTTCTAAGAATAGAATTAGAAAACAGCAGAAAAGCTAAAGCAGCAGAGTCCTGCAGACCCTGGCCTTTTGACTCGGGACTTTTGTTCTCTACCCAGTGTCTCCCGAAGCATGTGCTGAGGACCTCATCTGCAGTGTGACCTCTGAGGAACAGAGTGATCCTGGAATCCAGGCAAAAGACTGTTAACTCTGACAGTAAAACTGCCTCATGAGGTTACGATGGGAATTATACGGGTTATATATTGTAAGAACAATAAACTTCCCATTGCTATTGTATTTGGAGGGAAAACTCAGAAAAGAGAAAGCAAGCTTTCGGCAGTTTTCTAAAAGTACCGATTGGCTCCATCTGGAGGTGACAGCTGAGATGACAGACACTATCAGTGGGAAAGCAGATTGTAAGCAGAGCAAGAATCTGCTCCTCAGCCCTGTGTTGAAGACTTGTCCACTAAAGGCACGTCTACAGTCTTTTATGGCTTCTCTTTCGAGAAATAAAGGTCACTGAGGATGTGATGGTTTCTGTGCATTTGTAACTTTGGGATGGGAGGAATTTCTAGTCCTGCTCCCCCTTCAAGGTGCCCTGGAGCCCTGCTGGATTTCTCAGTGCTGCCTGAAAGGAGGCATTGAGTGAGAATCCTCCTTACAGAGGCCCTGTCCTTTTTTCCCCAGAAGCCTGTGTGACCCCTGCTCACCCAGGGAGTCCTGCAGGAAAACAGCAAGGTTGCAATGGCAGTAAGTGAGCAGGCAAAATCCAACCAAACAAAATCCCCCAAACTGGCACTGGCTTGAAAAGTTCAAGATTCCCACATGGCAGTTGGACTCAGGCCATGTACAAATTGAAGTCCGGGGCATGAGAACTATCTAGATTTGACTTAAAAGCAGAATACAGACCTCCATATCTGAGCTGGGATGGTTGTTGATGTTGGCTCTGAAGGCCCTTTTCCCTTCCCTTTCTAGTGACATTCCTGTATTGAACTAGATCATCACTGCCTTGGAAACCAACAAGTCAGCCAAAGGGCCTGGGTTCTACACCAAGACGCTTTATTGTTGCTCACTGCTAAGGCATGAACCAATGGACAGGAATAAATATATATGTGCATACACAAGAGCTCTTCTGTGTGTCACTTAGTGCAAAAAACTTCTGCCCTGAAGAACAAGTTTTGATTCTTTCTTTTTAATTCCTACTTTGCCAAAACCTGCAATGATACCTGTTTTCCTTGCAAGTCCAGGACTCCAGTTACCTGCACGCCGCTTCTGCACAACCCCATTTCTCTTCAGCCAGGCATGACAAGAGCTTTAACTGTGCAGGGCGGATTGGCTGCAGCAGCCCCTGTGGGCGCTCTCACCCTCCTCCCGTCCCCATTACAGGTGCGTGTTGCTCCCGTGGCCATCACTAATGGATGGCATCTGCAGAAGTGAGAAGTGGTGGTGACCTGGGACACCGAGGCTCTGCTTCTACCCCAGATTTAAGAACAACAGCTGGGCACTGTTTTTCTCACCCCGCTGGATGTGCTGAGCACCTGCTGTCATGAGGTTTTTCCTCCAGTATATGGGCTGTTTTTTTGCTTTTTTCTCTACTGGATTTTTGATAGCATCAACCTGGACAGACTGCTGGATGGTGAATGCTGATGATTCCCTGGAGGTAAGATCGGGGTGAGGAGAGCCTGATCACCAAACCAAATGTGTCCTAGAGAGAGTTTGGTTCCCGGCATCATTGCTCCACTCTCATGTACTTTTTTCCTGTTGTACTGGATAAAAGTGAAATTAATGACTCTGGCAAGAGCAGGGGAAAAGTGGCATTTTGTGTAATTCTCTTTGCCAGACTTCATTATCCAGACTCTGCTCTCACTTAGGAAGTTCAGGAAAGGTCTACAGGCTCTAGGTTTAAATATGCATGAACTTGAGTATGGTTATCCTGCATCTCCAGCCTGCATGGATATTTTGGAGATGCTTCTAATTCTGTAGGTCAGACTTCTTGGTGGAAAAGTCCAGCATGTACACCTGTGGTCTTCAAGTCGTTTTCTTAACAGCCATTGAACTATAGGGCTAGTAGCAATTTGTGGGGAGCATGGGGACTGGTGTCAGATCCAGCACTCAAAAATGTCTTCATGACCTTGAGCAGACATTAGCATTATCAGGTTAGAGAAAAGTATTGGCGAAAGTGAACTGCAAACCACAAGGAAGCAGAATGCCACATATGTGCAAGCTGTGCCCCAGACTCCAGACCCCAAACTGTCACCATTTCTCCAGCACTCAGTACTGCAAGTTTGTATTTTTCTTCCCGGAGCAGCCAGCACTTTCTGTACATTTAAAGGCTGCAGGTCCACAGTGTGGGATCTGCACTCTGGTAGGCTGGATACTTCATACAGTGAAGGCTGGAACTAGATGATCTTTGAGGTCCCTTCCAACCCAAACCATTCTATGATAAGGTGAAACACCTTCCAAGACAGAGTTTGGCTGAATATATCAGGACGAAACTTTCTCTTTGCTATTCAGCATGGGAAACCAGAAGAGCTCCTCAGCACCCAGTGATTGCAATTCAACATTTAGCTGCATCACACAGAACGATGAATTATCTGAGGAAAAGTGGCTAAAAGTGATTACAATAAAAATACCTTTTTTCTTTATATCACAAGAAATCCTGTCAATTTGACTACCAATCCCACCCTGGAAGGTGTTTGTAGATGCTGAGGTGGTCATAAACCCAATGCAGTGAGGTTGCTGATGGTCACTGTGTCTGCTCACTGGGCCACTTTTCAGAGGAAACTCTATGCACCCACTGATGCTGGCTGGGTTATCACTCTTCGTTTATCATCTTAATTTAGGAGATATTTCAGATTCATTCCAGGAAGCTGTGAATCTCTTGGAGTCAGCTGAAGATATCAGTATGCTCAGAAAAGCCAAATGGATCCCAGATTGTGCCATCATTTCCAGGAAAAACACAAGAGGGAAACCCAACTCCCGAGCAAAGTGAGATCAGGAAAAATCCGGCCCATTACCCTGAGGCTGTGTAACCTTGTCTTCTTGGCACAAAGGCACCTGCACTGGGCTGTCACAAAGTGCTCCATTAACACCCAGTTTGGTTATTAGCAGCTGCTACTCCCACATTCCTGTTCTGAGTGTGAATACTAAATAATGGAGAAAAACGCCCCCAGCCTTAATACCCGACCGACTGATCTCCTTAATGGCCCTAATGACTCACTGCCTCTCTAAATAGGGGAATGCCGGTAAACCACCAACGTCCAGGAAGGCGTGGAGTGACTCCTGTTTTCAGCTGGAATATACGATAATTCAGGCAACTTTGATTTCAGGAGAAAGGAACTCTAATCCTCCGGCATAGGAAGTCTCCTGGCTTTGACCCTGGCCCCCAGCAGCTGGGGAGGACGGAGCCCTCGCTGTGGTCCCGCTGGAGAGGAGCAGCCCGGCAGAGGCGGGGGCCGGGGGGACCCGGGAGCGGCCGCCCGCGGGGGGCTGCGGGGACCCGGCCGGCGCTCACCTCGCAGCCCTCGCCTCCCCTGCAGAAACAGCCAGGTTACGCCAACACAGAAAGTGGTTTAAGCTGGTGCATTCCGTGTGAGCATCAAGACACGCCTGGGGCAGTTTTTGCAGTAGTTTGGGCTGGAAAAAAAACATAATCTGCTTCCCAACGAGCACTGTATTGTGTACACAGTCCCTCCCTGTTGCAGGCGGATTAAAAATATTACCACTACTGTTAAACGCTGCCTGTTTTACACTCATGCTGGGCTTGTAATCATTGTATGTTGGCACCTTTTTACAGTGCGGTAAAACACTGCGACTATCATCACTTACATGTTTGTCTTCTGTGCTTTCCCCAGAAGGGGAAGCGTGCGCTTGTTCTGTCTTTTTTTTTTTTTTTTCTTTTTTCTTCTTTTGTATTAGAATTATTTTAATATTAATGATACATTATGCATAGGATATACTTATGTATATTACAGTGATTATGCAGTTTATATGTGCATACTTGTGTTAGGGAAAGCAATGTGTTTTGTAATCGAAGTGGGAAATTAGTTTGGCCCGTGATGCTTAGCTCCTCAGGGAGTCCTTGGCTGGGCCCAGGGAAGCTGGGGTGGATTTGCTATGGGGGAAAAGAGGTAATGGGGAATTAGTGCTACCAAGATGGTGCATGAGTCCAACCATGGGATGGAGAAATCCATGCCCCCACATGATGCCCCAGCCAGCCCTGACCCTCTCCCGTTATACAGCAGCGAGTTCCCGTGTGCCTGAGGGTCTGTGCTGTCTGCGCAAGGGCAGATGCCCAGGAGTGGTTTGGGAGCAGATTAACAATCGGAAGGACAAATGGTGCACAAAGCAGAGGGGAGCAAGGGCTGGCCAAGTAGGTTAAGAGGCAGATTACAGAAACCAGAATAGCTCAGCAGTGGCTCAGACCAGCCACAGGTTCCCCCCTCCCACATCTGTTCCCATCCTACACCAGGCAATAAGACATTTATCCCTGGATGTGCACGTGCTGCATAGAGATGGGCTGATCCTTAATTCTGCCCTTGTTCAGCATTAGCAGGAGTAGGTGCCAACCAAAACGTCCCAAGAAACACAAAACATTTATCAAATTTGTTCAGGTCTGGGAAGGGAGTTGTTTCACAGGCTAGACCATGATCAGGACTGTTGCACCTTAAAACCTCTGTTTTGCTTGGAGGCTGACTGTCCTGGTTTGGCTTGGACAGAATCAGAGCCCAGCCATGCCAGGCAGGCTGTTAGCAGGTTCAAGTCAGCCAGGGCAGCTGACCTGAGTCAGCTACAGGTGTAGCCCGTCCTGTAATGCCATGGTCATTATAAAGGGGGAGTGTTTACTAAGGAAAGTGGGCTTCTGTGGGGTTCCTGCTGGGGTTTCTCCTCTTCCTGCTCCTGAAGGCTGCTCTCTTGTTGATTGTGGCTGCTGCATGTTCATTTGACTGACTGTAACTTTGTATATCTCTGTTGGTATTGGTACTGTTTCATTAAATCTTTTCACTTCGGTCTGGAGGTCTGCTCTCCTTTTCCTGATTCCTCTTCCTGGCTGGTGAGGGGTTATGGGGTGATAGAGTAACTGTTGTAGCTTAGCCCTGGATATGGGCCAACATAGACACTGACAAAGCCTGGAATCCTGTTAGTCTCTTCAAAAATAATTTAGATGAAGATGCTGCTTGTGAGACTTAAAAAGCAATGCTAATGCAAGCAAGTGTGGAAGTAACTGAGAGTATTAGCTGAATACGGAGTATTGAAATGATATAAATACAAGTGGTACAAAATGTAATTTAATAAAAATATGCTAATTTCAAGCACAGCCTGAATGGTGGTAAGTTAAGATAGAAGACGAGCTGCAGCTGGATTAAGAGGGCTGCAGTAAAAACTTACATCCAATATAAACAAGGCAAATTGTCTTACATGATGCCGTTCTCTTAAAAAACATGGAATCAATGAAACAAAGTATTTCCACCACCACTTCTCAATTTTTTTTTTGTGATATTTTCCATTAAACTTGCCCTGAAATTCTCAGCAATTGTAAGTAGTTCTCATCTTCATGAAATGAAACTTGTAGATAGTTTTCATTCAAACATCAAAATATCTTTTTTGCCAGTCTGAACTAACGAGTCATTTTTACCTTCCTTTTATCCATAGCGCAGCATCACAGAGAAGGCGTACCAGTTAGATGGACATTGTATTGTAGAGAAAATATTGTGGTTGGCTATGGACTTCAACACACCCTGAATGAGACTTTATTAAATGGCTGAGATGTTATTATCTGCTTTGTGATTTACACAGTGCAAGAAAAATTGATTTGTTGCGTCATCAAAGCAAGCTTGGTCCCCTTCCCCTGCATGAAACCCCTTCCCTGGAAGAGTTTCTCCTTTCATTAATTGCAGCAGGTGTTGCTGGTAGCAGTGGGGCAGACTGGAGTCCGAAGCTGCACCGACATTAACTCTGCTCCTTCTATGAGCAATTCCAGGAATGTTTCAGAAGTGCTTGTTGCCATATTTGCATTAGTAATGAAAATACCTCCCATAAAGTGATTTATGGATGGTTGGGCTTGGGATGGTGTCTACAGCTTCAGGACAGCAGAGACTATTAGCCATGATGCTACTGCAATGTCTGCCCGAGTCTGGATGTTTCGGTGATGAGTGTGGCTCGGGCTCGCGTGCTCCCATAGCCAGGAGTGCACTCGGAGCCCCAGGGCCAGGATCAGTGCTGGCTGCCTTAGTTTCCAGCCAGTGTTTATGGTTGAGTCATTTGGGGGCAGCGCTCCACGCGTGTTTGGAGAGGGACTCACATCTACACCTCTGCTCTGCAGCAAAGTACTCCTCTACCACGCTGCGGCCACCTCCCATTGCGGGTGCCCAGCTCCTCGTGCAACACCTGCCTCGCCAGTCATGTTCCCCTCTAGGCTGCTCCGTCTCAGCAGGAGGATGGTGTAGGGGAAGCACGGACAGAAAAGTCTCAGGTCGTCTGGTCCATAGCCCTGCCCAGCTCAGCCTACACAAGCATTCGGCAAGGAGTCATCAAACCTGCTCTTAGATCTTTCCTGTCAGCCACCCCCCAGCTCCTCCCAGAAATTTCCTTCAGAATTTTTATGCTTACCAATAGGAAGTTTTTTGCCCCTAATGTCTAGTCTGAATTTCTTTTGCTCTAATTTAAAACCACTAGCAGGGACATGGAAAACATTGTCCTTTTTCTCTACCCTGCTTTTCTTCTTCAAGCTAAACCACTCCAGTTTGCCATCTATGTAACTGGAGCAGGATTTCTGTTGCCTACTGACCATCTGCTGTGTTGCTGGATATATTAACTTACGGTCTTCCTTCTCTTCTCAACCCACAGGTGAGCACAAAATGCCGTGGCCTGTGGTGGGAATGTGTCACAAACGTTTTTGATGGGATCCAAACTTGCGATGAGTATGACTCCATCTTTGCCGAGCACCCTGGTATGTAAGAATCAAAGATGTTTCTACAAGTGGTGGGGGCACCTGAGTGTAGATGAAAAGAGCATCTGTTCTATTTAGTGACAGATAATTTGGTGCACCTACATATTAGAGCCATGTTTCTTTTCTCAGTGAAGTGTTACTCCCAGGGGAAGCTGGAGAAAGCTTCACCATAGAAAAAAAAATGTTGCCATGGGATCAACCCCTTTATTCACCTACACTTCCATTCCTTGTGGATTAGAATGATCTACTTTTGTCCTGCAGTGAAGCTGGTGCTGACACGAGCCATGATGATCACAGCAGATATCCTGGCAGGATTCGGATTTCTCTTCCTTGTCCTGGGACTGGACTGTGTGAAATTCCTTCCTGATGAGCCACTTATCAAGCTGCGCATCTGCCTGGTGTCTGGAGTTACATTGCTCATTGCAGGTATTCCCCCCCTGTGCTCCCGTCCTGCAGGACACCCTTTAGCAAAAAGGGGGAAGCTTTAAAGCCTTCTCTTATTCTGGGGAGAGGAGTCTGTGATTTTCTAGAGGGTAAACATGTGGGAAGGATCTTTATTTGCTTTATTCGTGCAAAATAGCTTCCTCTGTTCGCTGCCTGCCCCTAACAACACATAGTTTGGTTTAGCTCCTTTCATTTTGTATATTGACAAGGTGACTGCCTCTGAGTCGACTGACTTCCATTTACTGCTGTTTTACTGTGAAGAAGTTAGTGTCGTTGATAAGGCAAAGAGACCTAATGGCTGAAGGACTAGAAAGTCCTCGCTTCCTGCTTCAGTTCCTGGCTCTGCCACAAATTGTGTGACCTTGGGCAAGTCACTTAGCCTGAAATCTCTGCAGTCGATCTCTAATAAAAGGATAATAACACGTCTGTCCCTCCTAGGTGGTAAATACCCGACAGACTGAAGTGTTTTACTGTTACAGCCAGTGGGAGAATTTTAAATGCAAAAATAAACAGACAACCAACTAGGTACCAAGTAATTTTACTTGACTTTATGTCGGTATCAAGCATCTACCTCTGCTTCAGCTTAAGCAGTTTTAACACACAACTCACCCCAGCCATTGGGAGCACATGTAAGACACTTTGAGAGGTTCTTTTAAACATCCTGCATTCACAAGTTTGTCTGAAAAACAGTCACAGTTCTGAAAGTCAAAACAGATTAGAAAACTCAATTCTTGAAGTAACTTTGCAATAAGTTGATAAACAAGCTGAGAGGGAGGAGCTTTCTGCCTTTTACTGCAGAAACTTGAGTGCTGCCAACTGGCTCTCATGGTGTCTGTGTGTGCCAAGCAGTGAGGCACAGCCTTTGCCTGACAGCGCTCCAGCTGATATCAGTAGGAACCAGGGTGAATCCACAAAACTGATCAGGCTGAGACAGAGCAGGGGCCAAAACCTGTCCGTCCTAAGGTCTGACCCAGCAGATGAAAGGCTATAGTTCCAGATTTTATATTGGCAATCTCCTTGTGGTCCACCTGGGAGCTCTGTGTGGCACCTCCCTCCTGTCCTGCAGGTCTCCCAGGCATTACTGGCTCGGTGTGGTACGCTGTTGATGTCTACGTGGAGCGCTCCTCTCTGGTCTTCCACAATGTGTTTCTGGGAATCCAGTACAAGTTTGGCTGGTCGTGCTGGCTTGGCATGGCAGGGTCACTCGGCTGTTTCTTATCCGGGGCCCTGCTCACCTGCTGCATGTATGTTTTCAGAGGTGAGGAACCATGGCAGGGCTGAAACACAGTTCAAAGATAGAGCCATCGCTTGGGCCTGCTACAGGCACACAGGGTGGGGAAAGTCCTTCAGGGACATGCTTCAGGATGGTTGCTCATCCCCAGTAGCAGAATCTTCAGCTGTGAAATAGGAATAGTGTTATTTCAGCAGCTGTAGAAAGCACATCAAGGTGTTCAGGTGGAGCTGAGGTATAAGTATGACAAAAAAGGTGTTATTATGTCATATATCAGAGTGCTGCTTTCTCTGCATTTTGAGGCTTTGCATCTGAAAGTCACCAAGCACTTGTTAGCAGATCCTGTTTCTCTCCCTGTGTCTTGCAGAGACCAGCTCTGGAAGACTCCACTCTGCTTACTCCTTGAGGAAAGGCTATTTCTCAGCTGGGACAATTGTAACAAATGTGCATTTGCCATCCTCTCAAACAGCTACTGCCAAAATGTATGCAGTGGATACAAGAGTGTGAGGAGGAGGTGAGTGCTTCAGAAAGAGTTGTACTTCTGTTTATAGTGGATTACACAGAGACCCAAGCTCCTGTGGTTGTGATACAGATGCAAAGTTGAATTTCAAGGATGTACCGTATGCTACAATGTTCACACTATAAAAGCTTGAAAAAAACCAACCCTTCCTTCAAGAAAGTAATCTCTGAGGAGATCTTGCCTTAAGGATTCCTTGTTGTCTTGAGTGCTGGGACGACTTGCATAAGCATGGACTGAAATAACCAACACAAACTCTTTCAGCATTTGGCTCAACATTATCAGCACAAGTGAGATAAATCAGCTGCTCCTGGATCAGACCTCAGTGTTCAGCATGAAGATCCCCAGACTGTAAATGGATCTGTTCTGTGTCTGGCAATGTGTTGACAGAACATACAAAGCAGAAAATACAGGCAAAGAGAGAGACTGATTATCTGGCCAACATCTGGACCCTATGCACCCAGCATGGGGGTCTGCTCCTCTTAAAGGCAGCTGGAGAGTTCAGCAGATGATAAAGAGCTGTGTTAAATGCCTGGCCCCTTCTTTGGCCCATGAACCTCTGCACTGAGGAAACACTGCAAATTCAGGTGCATTCTTCCCTGCAAAATACAGTCTTTGTACATTGCAGATGCTCTAGGCTCATTGAGATCTGGAAATTGCCAGCTTCTTTTTGCATAGTAAAAATTCTGACTGGACAAAGGCAAAGTGAGTGACGATCCAAGATCTACCTTGTGTGTGACAATATGTCTATACCAGCTAGAAACTAGGATAAACAATAGTAAAATCTGCTGCAATTTTCTATCAAAATGTATTTAAAACCAGTTCAGGACTGCCATCCCCTGCTGCAATCCAAGCTACCGTTGGCTGGGTGAGGCTAGAGCATCAGCCATGTCTTCACTAGGGTTGGTGAAAAAGACTCAGTGTGGTTTAACCTGTTCCCTAAGGATGGATGCAAAAGTTCCTCCATGCCTTTAATGGAAAGAGAAGCTGAGACACAGTTTTCTTAGAGTTGGTAGGAACTGCTAAAATCCAGTCCTTTCTACCGTGGGCACTACATAGATTCATAGAACGGTTTGGGTTGGAAGGGACCTTAAAGATCATCTAGTTCCAAATCCCCTGCCATGGGCAGGGACACCTTCCACTAGACCAGGTTGCTCAAAGCCCCATCCAACCTGGCCTTGATCATGATATAGTCATGGACACCAGCGGCTGAGAAAAAGCTCTCAGCACAGAGATATACCTGCTCAGGGGCAGTGGAGAAGCAACAGTGGAGTGTCAGGAGGGCATGCACATTGTGCACACCCGTGGGTACCCAGGCACCAGCAGAGGTAGGCTTCTTCCACTGTCTGCTTGGTGGGGACACTGGATGGAGAAACTCCCTTTCTTCCTCCAGGCAGTAAGAAGTGAAGCGTTATGTTATGAGGGCCAGAGGGTGATGGGATGGCTGGTGATGGAGTGGACTGTGATCCAGAAAGCACCTCTGATAGTCCCTATGATGGAAGACAAGGTGCTGAGTCCTCTCATGGATTATCCTGAAAGCAGCATCTTGTGCTGCAGCACAGAACTGTTAAATGTTAAAATGTTAAAACATAACCCAGTCCTGAGGTGGTTCCTAATCAAAAAACACCCAGGCCCTGAGACAGACGGGACAACAGCAGGTCCATATGGCTTTGCTACAGGCTCAAGCACCTCCACAAGGCTCAGACCATAATGTAACCTTCTCAGCAAGAGCCCTCATGGCACTGCTTTCCAGGTGAGGGAGGCTTCATGCCTGCAGAGCTCATGCTGCTTTGGTTGGCAGACATTTATGTTAGCTAAACTGAAAGCAACTTATTGCCAACAGATTATCTATATTGAACAGTTGTAAACACGGCAGGAGAAGTGACAGAGGCTTTCTTACAAAGTCCTGAGAGACAAGGAGTACAAGACTCACGAGTGAATAATGATGAATTCATGGATTATACCAAGAATGCACGAAGAGATCTGGAGGTGATAAGAATTTCTGCCTGTTATTGCAGGAAGCTGCATCCAGACCTTTTTTTTAAAAAAAAAATTTCACAGTCACCTCAGAAACATGTATTTTCTGTGAGGCCTTTGGGACAGAAGAGCTGGCGCTGGTACACTGTGCCAGGGCAGGGGAGCTCCTGGGATGTTTTGAGCCTGGTTCCTGGACTGTGCTCCTGCTCCTGCACAAACATTTGTGAGCATTTCTCTTCTTCAGTATCTATGTAGAATACGGGTTAATTCTTCAACCATACTCCTGTTCTAGCCACACTCTGTGATGGCTTTTCAGGATCTCTCTCCTGCACAAGACGACTAGGAAAAGATCACAGCAACCCTTACGTTTGTCATGTTAATATTTTGTAACAACCAGTCCAACACTGCATTGCTTCATTACTCAAATCCTGCTGACAGTCTATCTGATGTTTTGATCAATTGTTAATATTTAATCGTTAATCCACTGTTTGATTTAATTCTGACTCTGATTTCATGACTGCAGTATTCACTCCTCACTAGCTCATTACCATGCCACGATGCGGATCTATTTTAGTTTGGTTGTTTATTCATTACCAAGAAACCTCCCAGAAAGTACACAGGTCTAATTTTTCTTTCAAAATCACAACCAGTCCCTAAGGCTAAAGACGTTGCAGGTGAGCTCAGATATTAAGGTATTTCCTTAATACCTACCTACCTCCATTAAGCAGCAGCTTGCTAGGTACAACAATAGACTGATGCTGCCTTCCTGATGGCCATTGGTGGCTTATCAAAACTCTTTGCTCAGATGCAATCTCTGTCTCAGGCCCAACATTTAATACTTCAGTGCTAACAGCTTTTTAGACTTCTCCAGACTTCCACTAACTTCCAAGAAGTATTTGGGCATCTCAGTCTCGTCACTTCATTTCCCAGGGTATAGGCAGAATCAGGGACTAAACTGAGAGCTGGGGTTCTCACATTTCCTTCCTGCTGTACTTGCCTCGCGTCTCCTTGAACTTGGGGCTCCCCATTGCTCTCTCCACTGACAGCACACAGCTCCATGCAGTCTGCCAGGGCTCTGGCTGGTTGCAGGTTATGGAAAATAGCAAAGTCTTGTAGGTAAGTTCTTTGCTAAGCTGATTTAATGCCTTACAAATAGGTATTGATTTCCCATTTTGATATAGGCAAGTGACAGAGAGAATAAAACAATGACATCTGCAATGGCTGTCCTTTTCTTCATGCAATATTTCATCCTCTCACTATCTTGATCAGCCTTGTTCATAAGGACTCTTAACTCCAGCTGTAATTAGGACTCACTCTTACTGTGACCTTGTGAACTAAACTGTCTCCTGCTGCAGCTGCATGAATATTTCCCCAAATACGGATTTCCCACTTTTCCACACACATTTTAATGTGATTTTCGTGTGAATTCAGTAGATCTGAACAAATATTTTCAGTAGATAAGAATGTTACTTCAGAATCTGTTTTCCTTACATATTGTAACATTAGTGAGATATAATAAATTCCATTGCCTTTGAGCATCGTGTTTCTCTAACCCATGTCCAAGTTTCGCCCAGAAAGGTGCTTTGCCAGGTGAATTGCTCTGACTCCTGTGAGGGAAATCATTGCCCTCCTGGAAGGACCCACAAAAGGCAGCACCACAAACAGGACCAGCCCTTGGGAACGTGGTCTGTGGTTTGGGAGGCTGCCCAAACCTTTGCCAGTAGGCACAGGCCTCAGACCCCAGTTCATGCCTACAGCAACAACTCTTCGACAGCTGGCAGACTTTGTCCCCAGTTTAGACACATCTACTTGTAGTAATTTTATAAACTTTCCGAGAGAGAAAAGTAAAATTCCACCAAGAAAGTGAGGTTTTTCTCTCTCAGCTGGGGCTGGATCCCCACAGTTTGCTCTTCTGCATCTGTTAAATATTGTGGGCAAGCGATTAATGACTGAAATATTCTGTCCAAGCACTGTTACAGGGAGCGGAGAACAATTTTCTCCCGGTAGCTCTTGGGTTCCAGCTGTAAGGTGCCTTCGAGGGAGAAAGAAAAGAGCCAGACTTGTGCCATCTAGTGACCCGATGACAGCGAGCATCTGTCCCCGGCCCCAGCCTCTTCCTCCCTACAGAAAAGCTTTTAGCCCATTATCCAGTCTTCAGACGACAATGAAAAACAGATTAATGAGCATTTCTATTATTTTCACATCTTTCGTGTGCAACTCTCCTGGCAGCCCTGACCCTGAGTCAGCTGCCGTTGGTTTTGCTCTATTCTGCCTGAGAGCCAGTTTATGACTTTATTATTCAGCTCTTGACATGTGGAGGTGAAAGTCCAGCCGTGTGCCTCTCCACGTTCCCTTTGTCTTTCGCTTCCAGATGGTCACCAAGCAATTAGCTCCTCTGCACTGCCCCCATTTCCCCCTCTCAAGGCTTACTGACAGCAATTTCTCCCACAAACACATCTGCCTTTTAGTGTTTTCTGAGTTTTTCTAGAGCAGTTTGCTATTTCTTCCCAAAGTCGGCAGGAAGTATAAGTCACAGGATGAGTGGCAGCCAGAGGATCACAGCAGAACAAGTGCTTTTCCAAAGTAGACCCAAGTCCTAAGGTGGTGAATTATAAAGAAATGGCTCACCTTTCCTTATAACACTGGAAACATCAGCCAAACTGCATTAACTGCCCTCGTTAGGGGCTCGGTGCTTACAAAAGCATAAGAAACCAGGAAAAACCTTTGCTTGTGTAAGAATGGAAACACAGGTCTGGAGACACCTTGCCCATTCTGCTGGAGTGCTTGGGAGTAAGGGCAGGCTGGGAGAAGCAGCTTTTGTAGGCAACAGTAGGTCAATGGGTCCACCCCAAATACATTTGCAGAATGAAGGAACCCATCCCTTTCTCCATTTTAATGATCAAGAAGCCAAAGACCAGGGCAGTGCCCATTGAGCCCCCTCTCAGGGTACTCTCCTTCCCCACCCCAAGCCAGCAGCAAAGTCAACTTATGCCTCCCCTTCCCAAGCAACCCC